TAGATGGTGGTTATTTGCCCTGTTCACCAATTTCCAGGGAGAAGCAAACAGTTGCCCAAACAAGGATGTAGATGTGGCATACATCGATCATATGTAGTGTTTAGTCAATTGAAGAAAAAGTTTGGCTATCTATCTTGCATTTTAAATCACATTAGCATTTGAATTCATAGCACCTAATATCTCTGTACTTGGAGGTCTGGAACTCAACCTTCATTAAGGGTGATATGTGAACTGTTCACTGACCTGTGCTCAGGACACTTGAGCAGCCCAGGACTCTGTTATTTTCACCTGGAACTTGGGAGCCTCTGAGATGGAGTGAAGTGTCTAATCAGGTGAAGACTTTCGCTGGCCAGGCTTGTGATCTGTATGTTGTTTGGAAGGAAGTTTGCTGAAATAAAGGAGATTATATGAATAACCAGGACACTGTTTCTGATCGCCAGATGAGTCTGTGGAAACTCTAGGGAGTTCCAAATAGAACAATCACTTGATGTGGCAGGGACTCTGCATCCTATTGTCTAGGTATCCACTCTCACTTTGAGGTGATATTGGGTCTTTAGTGGTGGCTTTGGAGACTGAGGTTTGTCATTAGAATGTGCTAGAAACTGACCGTGTCTAATCCAACATAAATAAGTGATTTTTATGTGTATGGGTATTTTGTCTGCATGTATGCCTGTGCAGCATGTGTGTGCCCGGTGCCTGCAATGGCCAGAAGAAGGCGACGGATCCTCTGAAACTGGAGTCACAGCTGGCTGTGAGCTGCCATATGAGTGCTGGGAATTGAATCCAGATCCTCTGGACGAGCAGCCAGTGCTCTTAACTGCTGAGCTGTTTCTCCAGTCCTGTGTCTGCATTTGAAAGGCTCTCTTTGTATTTCTCATAATCAGTTGTCCCATCTCTACTGAGAGTCTACACAGAGCTGTCTTCCCCTTGACTCATGCCGTTGTGTTGGTGTTAATTCCAGAAATACTAACTTTATCTTTCCAGAGGAAAAGCATAGCAGACTGTTGACCTGCGGTTAGCATTGGTTATCCACCAGAAGGATTGCACACCCATGTTGTAAGGCTACAATTCATTTCATGAATATTGTTAGATAGGAATCTACAAAGGGAGGAATTTTGTTGAATGCTTGTGATGAAAAGTTATTTTGACTTAAAAATAAAATATGAAACTATTTCTTCTTGATCTCAAAAAGAATGATTATAGCCTCCATTTTGGTATTTGAAAGCAGCACATGACTGAATTTGCACGTGTGCTGAAGCCCAGTATTTGGGAGTGAATTCCTCTGAGACATGTGGTCTGGTCGAAGGAACCTGTTGACATTATCTTTGGAAGCACTGGCTCCTTTGCAGATCTTGCTCTGTTCAGGGAAAGCACAGTCAGATAGCTCTAAGTTGTGTTTCTGGGGAGTGCTGACTCCTGTTGGAGGGAAGGGTAGGCGGAGTTTTTTGTCAGGATGGCCCAACGTAACCAAATAACCACACAGAGACTTACTATTAATTGTAAATGCTTAGGCTTGTTACTAACTAGGTCTTACATATTATTAACCCATATTTGTCATCCACCCTCTACCACGTGGCTCTCCCTGTTTTCAGTACAGCATGCTTATCTTGCTTCTCTTCATATCTGCCCTTCTTCATCTCTGCACTCTCTCTTTCCCTGTCCACCAATCCAGCCTCACCTCTGCCTGCCTAGCTTTGCCCATTAGCTCTTTGTTAACCCTTTGAAGAGTAGCACGTCTCCACAGTGTACAGAAAGACTACTCCATCTCAGGGAAGAGCACTGCTCCAGGAGCTCCAGCCCTGTGCTAGAGCATTTGTGGTGGTCTGGTCTTGCTACTGTGATCAATCAGTCTTGGGGAGCTTTATCTTGGGGTGCTGGCCAAGGAAACCAGCTAAAAATCTAAAGTAACTTGTATCAAATGGAGTTGAAAGACTCGTCTACTGAGTGCTTTTCTTTCGACTTCTCCAGACTTTGGACAGATATCAACAGTAAATGTGGGAGAAAGTCCCACACCAGTCCCCACCACCAGGAAGTGTCCACACCACTGTAATACAGCAGAGAAAGAGGACAAAACAAACACCTGGGAAGTTGCTCTTCCCAGAGCGGGGCTGAGACCGGCTTTGGACATCCATGTCATCGCTCCCACATGGTGCATTCTGTGTGTGCCAAGAGTTCTCTGCACTGCCGTGGGATTGGAAGAAGTGGGGTTGCAGCTGTTCACGTCTCATTAACAGAACCGTTCCAGGCCAAACAGGGATGGCGACTATCTCTTTTGTGAAGAACACAGTCAGCGCACTGAAAGATCATACATAGACTAGAAACCTTTAGAATTATAAATAGTGAACAGGAAAATAACTTTGTTTCTGGCCTCATTTCTTTCATGTGTGAAATAGAACTAGTAATAGTACCCGCCTTAGCGTTTACTGAGAATTCTGTGAGTTAATATACTACATCAGGAGCTTAGGGTGGCTAGCACAGCGAGTGTTAGCATCGTTTAAATGCATTGGAAAATAGTATAGTGGGGGGGCATCGTCTATCTCTTGGGCCTTAGTGCCCTCCTATGTTGAGGGGGCAGATAGCATAGTTTCCTTTGGCTTGAAAGGTACGTGTTAGAGCAAACGAACGAGGCCACGTGAAGCCTTTAAAACAGTGTATTGAAGGAGCATCCCTGTAAGTGTTAGCACCAAAGTTCAGACACCATGCTGTTTCATTCTTACAAAAGCCTGGATTTTTTACAACAGCCCTGGGTTACAGCAGTGTCTGGAATTTATTTTGTAAGTGGTTGAGGAAGAGGAGGAACCGGGCTGTGAGGTGAGGAAGCCTGTCAGGGCTGCAAATGTAGAACTGGAGAAAGCGATCACAGAGTTTTAGGTAAAAAATGTTCGTGTCTTCCTTTCTTCTGTCACAGCAGTGGGAACACCAGAAATAAATGACTTATGGGCTCCTGCTACCCCTGACTCTCTTTGGTTTGAAAATGTGTCCCTTAAATTTTGTGCCTAGTTTACTGACTTCCGTATCCTTTCTGTGAGCCTTACTATACTCTTCCTCGTAGAAGCCTAATGAGTACTTGGCCTTTTATATAGTTGGTTACTCTTGACACCATTTACTTCCCTTAGTGTGACTCTGGGGCTTTGCGCGTCCATCTGAACATGTGGGGTGTGTGGAGCTTCTTCACGTGCGCCCCACTGTCCCTCAGGGAAGGTAGATTCTGGACTCTCACTTTCCAGTTGAAGTACCATGGGCTTGGTGGAGACTGCTGACAGCCATTTGCCCTGTAGTGCATCCACGGTGGAGACCAGTTAAACGGGATAATAGGCAGATGACAGTGACACACACAGAAGGATTCGGGGCATTTTGCTCTACTCTTTCCCAAATCCTGCCAACATGCCCTTTTCACATTTTAACTAGAAACAAAGAGGAACCCTAAGCTGTTTATCTGGCTAGATTGTTTTCCTTCTGTATGCATTCTCAAAGCCATGCATTCCATATAAACTGACTGCTGACCTGTCATCCCTCCCCCCGCCCTCCCCCCCCAGAGCTGGCACACACACACTTTGACATGGGTTCATCTTATAAGTACATGGTTACATGTGAAATCCACCAAATCAGACTGGAGTTGTTGGAGGAGCTGGAGGGACTGGGCTACCTTTGTTCACTTTTTCTTTAATGACTTCAGATAGTATTTCTCCCCGGTAAATGAAACAGTAACTTCCTACTATGAAGTATGGAAGATCTAGGAGGTTTATGGAGAGTGCGCTGGGCAGTGTGTGTCTCATATACATGCTTGCTGTGTACTCCTTGACTAGCCCTCGAGTGACAGAGGTCTCTGGGAAATGCTGCTCTGCTCCCGGAGTGGTGCTGCGGGGCCAAGCTGGCCACGGTCTCTCACTGTGGGCTTTGATTTTGTTATTTCTTTTCCTGTATGTGTAGTCTTGCTTACTCTTGGGTTTATTATGAGAAGTCAGAGGCCCTGATCAAAGGAGAAACCAGGTTTTGCTACCTGATTTTGTGCTGGTGCTGAGCTATATTCTCCCTTTTCCCCATGTGGGAGCTGAGTATCTGAGAAGATAGAGCTGTAGTCTATCAATTCTAGATTCTCAGACCCCCTAGGGAGTGCTTAAACAGCTACTCTTGGTCTTCTTGTACCTCTTTTGGTATAAACATGTGACCTAGCCTTATTAATATTATTTTTCTGTGATGCTATAGAACCAAATACAGTCAGGTTCCACTTTGAGCTCTTCTTCCCTTAGATGAGGCATGTGGTTGAACGCATTTAGAATTCTTTGGGGAACGGAATGTCTTGGGAGCCAGCCTTGTAAAGATCTAGTAGCAGTGCAAGCCGGTGTGCTGTGGCACACGCACTCCTGTGTGCCCACACCACCTCTCCGTGCTCACATGTGCAGTGTGTGGAGGGTGAGCAGGGAGAAAGCTGTCTTAGTGTCATAGGCGAGTGCTTAGAGTTTTGACTGCAGTTCAGACCGCTTCTTGTGGAATCAAATGGTGCTGGCTTTAGGCTGATAGCCGTGGGAGGCCTGCCTGTGTCTGAAGAGAAGCGGTGGGGGAGGAACTGGGAAGAGGGAGGGAAGGGAAACTTTGGGATGTAAAGAAAAAGCACTAGTTTGACTTGATGAGTAAAATGGCTTCAGTGACACCAAGGATAAAGGTACAGGGGAAAAATAGTGGTGTCTTACATGGGCTGTTTTGTGTTTGAAATTTTTGTCGCAGTGTATCTGAGGTCAGCTCTATTTACAGTTACCTGTTCTGACACATAGACCATTCTAGGAATTCTTTTCTTTCCTATTAGATAATGGGGCATAATGCAGATTTCTTGTGTGGGATGCAATTTTGGAGTAAACCAACTAATAGGAAAATTGAAGAGAGAATGTGGCACTAAAGCCCTCCTTTCTGCTAGAAATGCTGATTTTTCTCGTCTAGGATACCTTTTGGGGACACCTGCATGGTTGGATCACTTGTCTAACTGCTCTCTTGTTGTTGTGAAGGATATTGTCCCCGTGGATGCCTCCTATGAAGTGAAGGAATTGTATGTGCCGGAGAATAAACTGCATTTGGCAAAAACTGATGCAGAAGCCTTACCAGCACTGAAAATCAGTAAAGTAAGTTCTCTGCTGCTTGTCAAGCCAAGTGGTGCAGCCGTCCGAGGAGCGTTAGCTTGACGGATGTGGGGCTTAGTGGCCGTGTTTGAAGTCAGGGTGGCAGTAGCAGGTCAGGGTGTTGTGGTGTGTATCACAGATCCCAGGGGTGGAGAATGTGTTTAATGGGGGAACAGTATTCCCATATTACCACAACTTTGATTTGCTTTTAGTCATATTTGTTTATTTTGAAATATCAAAGGATAAAGATTATGTGAGCTTTGGGGCCATAAGAGAGAAAGGAATGTTTCTAAAACATTAAGAAATGCTAATCCATAATAATTAGAATGAACTTTACCACTTTAAACATGTTTCCTAATTTCCTGCTCAACATTTGACTTTCCCTTATATTAAGAAAAATGGACATATTAGGATTAGTTCTGTTGAATAGCTGTGTCTAATGATATCATTAGGTGCCTTTCTCAATTAACAATTTCTGAGTTAAACTAGGCAGGATGAGAGTGGAAACTGATTTATTCTCAAATCTTAGGAAACTTTAAACTGTATAATTTATACATATTTTAAAAACACATAAAAAAGAAAAGACAAGCAAAACCCCACAAAGGGTAAGGAATAAGAATATGGAGTGCAGTTGGCTATTCCCTCAACTCTTCATTTATGATAAGAAGAACCTAGAAGACTTGGGGAAGTGTCACATCTCCGTACTGAGGCTGGAGAACTGAGCTTGGCCTGGACAAAGGCTCCTCCATAGTTGTTCCAATTCTTTGGTAGGAGTGATCTTAATGGGCTGTATGTGACCTGATCTTAGGTGGACGTGTGTCAGGGAGGGATGGTTCCAGGTGGCCATGGAGAAGGACCAGAGTCTGCACAGACAGAGGGAAAGAGAGATATCTGTAGGTGTACTGACTGCAGAACCTAAAGGTGAACTTTCTTCAGTCCGGAGTTCACAGTTCAGTTTAGGGTACCCACAGGCACACCGCCGGTCTGCTCCTTCACAGTGCTTCCTCACTAGTTCTGCTTGCTTAGTCATATTGAAGGCTAAGGCTTCAGCATAAGAAGCTTGCAGAGCTCCTAACTGATGCCATCTAGAGTTGAGATAAGCAATGACCACTGTCATGGGTTTAGGAACAGGCGATGTATTTAGGCTGTGTAACTCCTCATGCTGCTGGCTGTTTCCTTTCACACACTGGCTGTCATGCTTTAGTAATAACGGGGAGACTCCATTTTTCTGCACACCATGGGCCAGGTGTTTAGTCTTTTCTCACTTGGGATCCATTGCTGTATGATACATATATATATATACATACATACATACATATATGCAGTTGGCCAGTTCTTTACTGTTCTGCAGGAATGTAACCATAAGTCTGGAAGTTTAAGCAATAGTGACCTTAGTAGGATAAAGTTACTCTGGGAAAGAGTCTTTTTGGTAAATATTTTGTGTAAGGTATCTTTTTGTTAGGATAGTGACTGTCAGCCAGGTGATGGTGGCACAAGCCTTTGATCCCAGCACTCGGGAGGCAGAGGCAGGTGGATCTCTGTGAGTTTGAGGCCAGCCTGGTTTACAGAGTGAGTTCCAGGACAGCCTGGGCTACACAGAGAAACCCTGTTTCTAAAAACAAACAAAAGTAAAACAGTGAACAAAAGGAAGGTAGCGACTATCAACATGTAGTTTCCAGGTCTTCATGGACAGCAGTTCTGGAAACTTGCAGAATTTTAAAACTTCTGCTGCCTTGGAAATTGAGTGTGAAGTAATACGCATTCGTCTGTTCGCTTGCTGTGAGACAGGCTCTCACCCTATGGTCCGACTTGACCTGAAACTTGCTGTGTACACCAGGCTGTACTTAAACTCACCGAGATCCACTTGCCTCTGCCTCTGCTTCCCAAGTGCTAAGAGTAAGTTTGCACCACCATACCCATCTAGCAATCTGTAGTGTGACACGCCTCCCAGAGGTTGTCTGGTAGACAGTAATGTTTGAGACCTACTGGCTTAGGTGAGGCCATCTCTGGTGGAAGTATGCGAGGGTAATACATTATGGGTGTGCTAGAAGAAAAGCTTGTTCTCTAGGAGTTCCTCAATCTGTAGGATCCACAGTCTTGTTGACATTACTTTCAAAATTACATGCGTAACACTTTTTGCTGCTTGGGTTCATAAATACATAAAATCAGTATTTTTTTATTTACTGTCTAATTTGCTAGGTGGATATGCAGTGGGTGCAGGTTTTGGCAGAAGGTTGGGCGACTCCTCTGAATGGCTTCATGAGAGAGAGGGAATACTTGCAGTGCCTTCATTTTGATTGTCTTCTGGATGGTAAGATAGTCTACATCTAAAATTAAATTGGGCATGGAGGAGGCATGGCATGATTTCAGGTATTTGTCGCTTTTCATTAAGGTAGTCATGGTCTCTCAATAGTAGTCATGAAGACTAAGCTATGCTAGTTCCTAACACTCCAAGTAAACCATGGATCTATTTCTACTCTTCCTTTTCCTTCCCATGATTGTTCATCATGGAGCAGAAGGAAAGCCTGCTGTTAGGGCCACTGTTCCCTGTGTCATACCACCTGTCCACTGTGGAGAGCTTCTCCCTCAGTGCCCATACACTCCGAACCATTCCTCTACGAAGCCTGTGAACTCAGGGTCTGTTTTGTTTGCATGTTTGTTTTCTGCAAAGATTAAATACTGTAGTTTGATATTCCTCCTTAGAGTTAGTGGTGGTCCTTAACTGCCTGATCAGTAATGACTCAGCCTGGAGTTTAGTGCATATTGACTTCTTAGTTTCCATCTTAGCCTGTCTTGACAAACAGATTAAGTGTAGCCAGATTTGTTGATAGCTGATAACTTTGTCCAAAGATTTTATTTTATTTATTTATTTTTAAATTTAAAAAAATTTTACACACCAACCCAGTTCCCCCCACCCTCTCACCCCTTATCCACTCCTCAGAGGGGGGTAAGGCCTCCCTTGGGGAGTCAACAAGGTCTTGTCCAAAGATTTTTTTTTGTCCATGATTCTCTACACAATAGATTTCTTCCGTATATAAATCCAAATAGGAATTTAAGAGTATTCTGTTGTAGTGACTTACACACACACACACACACACACACACACACACACACACACACACACACACACACACACCTCAAATGCATAAATAAAAAGAAAAAATTGGATTATCTTTGTCTTGTAAATATACTCAAGGGTACATAATCAGTTTGCCACTTGAAATGTAGTTATTTGTGTCATTCTTCTTTCAACAAAGATTTAGACTTTTCTTGGTTTAAAGCTTTAAATGAAATAGAATTCTTGGTCTCATTCATATAATGGGATGTACAATATTTTTTGATAGTCATCATCATCTGCTGCTTCCTTTACTTTTATAATTCTATATAAAATTTCTTCCCAAGCATAGTTGGATGGCTTGTGAGAATTAGTATATGATATGTGTTGGTTCTTTTGCCTCTTGTTTTAATTCTTCCTCCCTCTTCTCCCATCCCCACCTCTCTCTCCCTATCTATCCGTCCTCCCCATCCCATCCCTCCTCCTCTATCCCATCCCTCCTCCCCATCCCCACCTCTCTCTCCCTATCCATCCCTCCTCCCCATCCCCACCCCTCTCTCCCTATCCCATCCCTCCTCCCCATCCCCACCCCTCTCTTCCTATCCCATCCCTCCTCCCCATCCCCACTTCTCTCTCCCTATCCATCCCTCCTCCCCATCCCCACCTCTCTCTCCCTATCATCCCTCCTCCCCATCCCCACCTCTCTCTCCCCATCCATCCCTCCTCCCCATCCCCACCTCTCTCTCCCCATCCATCCCTCCTCCCCATCCCCACCTCTCTCTCCCCATCCCATCCCTCCTCCTCATCCCCACCTCCCTATCCATCCCTCCTCCCCATCTCCACCTCTCTCCCTATCATCCCTCCTCCCTATCCCCACCTCTCTCTCCCTATCCATCCCTCCTCCCCATCCCCACCTCTCTCTCCCTATCCATCCCTCCTCCCCATCCCCACCTCTCTGTCCCCATCCATCCCTCCTCCCCATCCCCACCTCTCTCCCCATCCCATCCCTCCTCCTCATCCCCACCTCCCTATCCATCCCTCCTCCCCATCTCCACCTCTCTCCCTATCCATCCCTCCTCCCCATCCCCACCTCTCTCTCCCTATCCATCCCTCCTCCCCATCCCCACCTCTCTCTCCCTATCCATCCCTCCTCCCCATCCCCACCTCTCTCTCCCTATCCATCCCTCCTCCCCATCCCCACCTCTCTCTCCCTATCCATCTCTTTGCTTCCCTGCTTCTTCCTTCTCTTTCTTTAACTTTCTGAATAAATTAGTTGCTCTTCTGATTCTTTTGCCCCAGGTACTCAAGAGACAGACAGTGCACCGCTTCTTTAAAAATGTTTCCGTTAGTTAAAGGATTAATATTTGTTGTGTGTATGTTCATGTCCATGCATCTGCAGTCATTCACGCCACAGCACACATGTTGAGGACAGAGGACAACTTGCATCTGTCAGTTCAGTCTTTAACCATGTGGGTTCCAGGGGTTGAGCTCTTGTTTGTGAGGTTTGGTGACAAGTGCCCTTAACTGCTGAACCATCTCCCTGTCTCCGGTTCTTTGAGACATTAGTTGTTGTTGTTGTTGTTATGTGAATTGTGTCACTGAATATGAAGGTGCCTATACCAAGACCCACTGAGTAAGCGGTGCTCCTTATGTTCTTTTTGTGTCCTGCAGGAGGTGTCATCAACTTGTCAGTGCCTATAGTTCTGACAGCTACGCATGAGGACAAAGAGAGGCTGGATGGCTGTACAGCCTTCGCTCTGATGTATGAGGGCCGCCGGGTAGCCATTCTTCGAAATCCGGAGTTTTTCGAGCACCGGAAAGAGGAGCGTTGTGCCAGACAGTGGGGAACAACATGCAAGAACCACCCCTACATTAAGGTCTTGACTCATCTGACAGTAACATTGTGTTGAGATGTGGCCATCGGCTGTGTGTTAATTGTTCCTCTGGGCTGTGAAGTTTTGCAGAATTGAGACTGGCTCTTAGATGAGTGCAATGAGCAGATGGTTTTGTTGTTTTGGCTCATGTAAATATTTATTCAGTGACTCTTTGTAGTTTTTTGAAATCATTGATGCTGGGCATTAAATCCAGAGCCCTGTGCATGCTAGATCTGTATTTATACTCCAGCTTGTAACACATAATTTTCAGTATTTACTGGGTACCAGGTACTGATCTCAGGGCTGACTTAGAACACAGGATGTGGATGTGTTGGGCAAAGGTTTGTTCTCTTGGAATGTAGTGGAGGGAAAGATAATGTGTTCTTACAAGGAAGATGCAAGGGTAGGTTGCAGTGGGAGCCCATACCAAGGTGACTTAATATTTTTGGCCTTTTAACATTGTATTCTTGTGGGAAATCAGAGAAAAATGATTCATCTCCCCAAAGTACCTCATTTGTGTGTTGAGTGTGGAAATGTCAGTATTGAAGGCAAATATCTGTCAGTTGTTTAGTGTTTTAAAAGCAGGTTCTAAGCTTTAGAAAAAATGAAGTGCACTTGGTTGGGCTTCAGCTACATCCTATAAATGTGGGTCCTGAGGGTATAGACCTCCAGATATAGGGCAAGGTGGGTGATGGTAGATGAAATTTGAGAAAATGTGTGTTAATTTGTTAGTGAGCTTGACAAATTTTCATACACTTGTCAGTAATCATTGGTGTCAGAAGTTTGAGATTGGAGGACATGTAAGATGGGATTCCTATAGGTTACAAATCTATCTGTTAACCAACATCTAATAACAGTGGGGAAAAATTCCTTTGTTTTTTTAAACTGACAAAGTAATAATCATTCCCTTAGGTTTTGGTTGCTTTTCAGAAATTCATCCAGACATTATATCACAGTATTTCTTCAGTATCTTTCATTCCAGTGATGTCCATAAGCCTAGGTTGGCCTTTAAGATAGAGATGAGCTTGTAGAAGCTGTGCTTAGCTCATGTGAAAGTAATGTTCTTACTTCTATTGTAGCAACTAATTTCCTGTTGCTTCCTGTTAGATGGTTATGGAACAAGGGGATTGGCTGATTGGAGGAGATCTTCAAGTCCTCGACCGAATTTACTGGAATGATGGTCTTGATCAGTATCGTCTTACTCCTACTGAGCTCAAGCAGAAGTTTAAAGATATGAATGCTGGTAAGATGTATACCTGCTCATCTAGAATGAGACTACTGTCTCGTGTGTGTGTGTGTGTGTGTGTGTGTGTGTGTGTGTACATATATATCAGGGTGATAACTAAAGGTATATGAGGCAATGGAATAGATAAAGAATAGCGACAGTCAAGCCAGGCCTCTGTAGTTTGTTTTTTTTGTATTTTGCTACATTCTTAGAATTTGATTTAGCATTTTCCATATGATACGGAAGATGGATGTAGCAAATTGGCTGTTTATTATAAAGCTTGTGTTAAAGCTGAGTAGAACTTTGTATAGACGATCAGATCTGTTCACTCACACCAGTGGTGTACCTCGTGGAACAAGTGATGGCGCCATGCCACCTTACAGTGTCTGTTCCATTACCTGTACTTGTTGTGTACCTTTGTCTGCTCCTGTGCTGAGTGCTGAGGTTTCAAAAGTAAACATGAGAAGGGGCTTTTATGGGATGACGTGGAGCACCTGCACTGCTGTCTTCATTCTGGGATGATGGGGAGCACCTGCACTGCTCTCTTCATTCTGGGATGACGTGGAGCACCTGCAGTGCTCTCTTCATTCTGGGATGGGGTGGAGCATGTGCAGTGCTCTCTTCATTCTGGGATGACGTGGAGCACCTGCAGTGCTCTCATTATTCTGGGATGGGGTGGAGTACCTGCAGTGCTCTCATTATTCTGGGATGGGGTGGAGTACCTGCAGTGCTCTCTTCTTCTGGGATGATGTGGAGCACCTGCAGTGCTCTCATCATTCTGGGATAGGGTGGAGCACCTGCAGTGCTCGCTTCATTCTGGGATGACGTGGAGCACCTGCAGGGCTCTCTTCATTCTGGGATGACGTGGAGCACCTGCAGGGCTCTCTTCATTCTGGGATGACGTGGAGCAGTGTGTGTTCAGGAAAGCTGAGGTGCGTTCTCTGCAGTCATACACTCCCAGGCGCTCCAGGACGCTATCTTCTCACCAAGTGTGCTACGTGGGTGTTGGTAAAGGATGTGCTGCCCAGATGCACCAGATGCACGTGCTCAGATACTGGAGGTGTTGGTGAAAAGAGCATTCCCTGTAGAGTAGACATGGCTAGACTGCTAAAAGGCTTAAGTGCTCTTACTGTCATCTGTGTCAGCTCACCAGCAGAGGCGCAGAGCCCTCAGCCCTGGTGCCAGTCCTTAATGCTTTCTGTGTGGAAGTCTGGCCGTGGCCTGGAAGGGGGCATGAACGTGGGTATGGGTAATGTGGAATCAATAACGGACAATAGCTGACCGCTCAGCTGTACTTAAGAGCCTGCAGCCTCTGTCCCAGGTGGGGATAGAGCAGTAGGGACAGGACAGCTCCACCTCACCCCTAAGCACCAGGTCGTTTAGAGTCCTGAGTGTGGATAGTGTCCTGCTTTACCATGTGGGAGTTTCATATCTTGTTTTCCTCTGTGCTCTTTGACAGTTGGTGGGAACACTTATTGACCCTAATGCATAGGGCTTCATCCATCCATCCATCCGTTTATTTATTTATATTTGAAACAGGGTCTCACAGTGATTCTGGCTGGCCCAGAACTCACTAGTAGACCAGGCTGGTCTCAAACTCATAGAGATTTGCCTGCCTCTACCTCCTGAGTGCCACCATGACAGACATAGTAGTAGTAGCATGTGATTCCCTTGTATCAGTATGAAATTTGGGGAACCTATGAAGGTTGTTTCTGGCCATTAGCCTATAAAGGAAAGAGACAGCTTCCAGGAAAAAAAAGTCCTTGTGAAAGAAACTGTATTATCACCAATAATGAGAGAAAGAAAGAAGAAAGAAAGAAAGAAAGAAAGGAAGAAAGAAAGAAAGGAAGGAAGGAACCATTTGCCTGTCTTTTTCCCCCATCTGGGTGCTGTCACTGAGGATAGAGTATTTGGAGCTCTTGGAGCCATTCATTCTGTGTTCTTAAGAATCCCAAACATGTGTTCTGTGTTGAGTTTCTGTCATTTATTTCCAGACTTCATATCTAAAGAGACACTACATATTTAAATTATTTAAGACACTTTTAGTTGGGTCTTTTATTTATAATCAGCAGTAGTAGTGCATTTCATTCCCTTCCTCATTCCCTCCCTTCCTCCCTCCCTCTGTCCCTTTTTCTGGTGGTGAACAGAAACACATTTAGGATTTGTTGAGACCACCTTAGTTTGTTTTTGCCCAAATCTGAATCCCTATCTTGAATCACTGTTAGTCAATTATTGGCTCTGCTGAGACATCTTATCATGGAATTATTGTTCATAATCAGAGACTTCACTAGTCCATCTGTTTGTGCCCTTCGTGAGCCAAACATTTTAAGTCATTTAGGGAACTTGTTGCATAATGAGTGATTGTGACTTTGTTTAAAGTAGCTGAAAGCCAGTTATTAGCCTTACATCAAACAACAAAGATTTGTGGTGTTATTTTGTTTACTTTTCCATTTTAGACCAAGGCAAATAAGCAACAGACGGAGGGAGTTTACTTTGTAGTTTTTGTTTACTCATTAGGAAGCCAGTGACAACCAGTCTACTGATGTGTTCAAGAGACAGAGAGCAGGAACAGTGCCTCACTTTTGTCTCTAGTGTCTGTCCATGCCTCTGCTCGCTCCTCTCCATCTCGTCTGAAGTGTTCAGGTTATCTGCTATAAATTGTTGTCCTGTGTACACCGATGTGACAGTTCAGTGTTGGAGTCCCTTCTGTAGCTGGGAGGATTGAGATTTCCCTGTTGCTAGCTACATTGCTAGTTTAGAAGGTGATCTATTTACTAGTGGAGGTTCCTGGTATCCAGATGATCGGTAGACTAGAGAGGAAGAAGAATTTCACTGAGCAGGCTAAGAGCCTGTTTGTCCTCATTCTACACAGAATATTGGTGTCCTGCCGGTTACAAAGTGAAAAATTCACACACTCTTTCAGACTAGCATGGTGCTGCACAGTACTGAGTCAGTCTGTGAGGGCTTTTGTTGAGTTGTTGAATTACAGACTGTTTTAAAAGAATGAGTAGAGATTGTTAGAAGGATATTTTAGGCAAAGACAGGGGCAACATAGGAGGCTGGTGAGGCAGTGAGGTTAGTGTATTTTCTTATGGTAAAAGCAGTGAGCCAGAGATGTTGCAGTCAGAAACCAGATAAGGAGACTCCCTGTCTGGCAGGTTCTAGTGGAAGGCAGAAGCACTGTCGGATAGAGTCCAGAGTTAACCAAGTGAGCATGGGAGAAGAGATGCGTGCAGTTATGGGAACCCACAAGTAGTGCTGGGGGATCGAACTGGCAACACCAGGGACAGGCAACAAGCAATCCTCCCCCCTCCCCCTCCCTCCCTCCCTCCCTCCCTTCCCCCTCCCTCCCCCCTCCCTCCCTCCCTCTCTCCCTCCCTCCCTCCCTTCCTTCTTTCTTTCCTTCTTCCCTCCTTCCTTCCCCTTCCTTTTTCCTTGTCTTCTTCCCTCTTTCTTTCCTCCCTCCCTCCCTTCTTTCCTCCCTCCCTCCATCCCTCCCTCCCTCCCTTCTTTCCTCCCTCCCTCCATCCCTCCCTCCCTCCCTCCTGCAATTGTCTTTGGTCACTCAGCTGGTGCAGAGCCTGGTCCATCTAGCTCTTTGCACTAAGTCCTGGCAGTTCCTGCTGCCCGGGTCATTGGATGGGCCATCACATGACCTATGCTACACACATCCAGGGAGTTGTTGCTGTTTTTCACTATCAGGAAATGCTGATGTTGTCCTTTACATTCTAAGCAGCGAAACACATTTTGAAAAGGACCTTCTCCACTCTCTTCTACCCCTCTACTTGCTGGAAGGAAAGGGCTCCAACTTCACTTGCTTCTTACATGTTGCCTCCTGGCCTGGTGGGGGGCAGTCCAGAGCACAGGGAAGGAGAGCTTGCCACACCGAGCAGTCCTTTTACACAGACACGGTATAGGGGTTGGGACAGTGATGAGGAATAGACCGAGTGGGGTTTGGGTTGAGGCAGTGATACCCAGTGTGGGAAGACAGAGTGTGGTCAGTGTTGAGATGACTTCGTTATGTCAGTGCCTGATGAGTGGGGAGTCAGGCCATGGAGATAGGGCTGAGATACCACGTAGTAGTCGAGTACAGTTGATGGTGGGGGGTTGAGTGGGAAGTTTCTGAATGACCATGTCAGTGGAGTGTCACACAGCACGGCAGTGACCCCCGATGTCCCAGTTACCCAGTGAGAAATAGGCGGTTAGACTCAGATGGCCCAGCAGAGCCTGCAGTTTCACATTTGTCTGATTATGGTTGTGTAAAATATGTGCACAAAACATTAATTCGGAGACTAGGCAAAATCAAGATTTAAAACCAAAGACGGCGATACAGAAATAGTCTATTTATGGACAGTTTCCCCTCAAGTTCTCTGTGGTGGTTCATGCTTTCTATTTTAAAGAGGGGTTAGGAAGCGGCTGGTGAGTTTAGGAGGCCAGTCCTGTGTGACATTTAGTCTGGGCAGACTGGGTAGGTGTTCATAGAGACAGAAAGCAGGGCACCTTTGGGATTTGGCAGGTTCGTGCTCACTGAGTGGCAGAGCAGGAAGCAGCTAGTTGTCTGGGTGAGTGCAGTTCAGCAGCTCCACGTGGAGGCGAGGAAATGAAGTTCTTTTCCTCCATCACACTCTCCACACTGTCAGCACCCTTCTCTGCAAACAGACTTCTCAACCTTCCCTGCTGGACTCGGAAGAATGTTTGCTCCTTCTTTCTCTGAATAAACTGCACACTCCGAGGGCACGGGAGACCAACTGTTACCTTGGGGAGAGCTTGCCTGAACTGGAGTTTTCATCTGTTCAGACCTTCCCTGTCCCTGTGCCCTGCACTGTCAGACTGCAGAGGGAGGGAGAGTAGTCAGTACAGATCTCTGTGGTGAGCTGATGGGGGTCTGAGCACATGCGTGGGAGGAAGGAGAGCTGGAGTGTTCTGGACTCAGGATCAGATACTGTGCTCCAAAGCCAGGGAGCAGACCTGGAGGTGGGGACAAGGTGGCTGGTTTGACTCTTGGATGGTTCCGGGGCACTAAGAGGCAGATGGAGAGGTGATCTGAGCTTGGGGCCAACTTTTGCTCAGTTAACAGAAATTTGCAAGTCAGTGCTACAGAGCCCAGCCTAGAACCCTTGGAGCTTGTGACCTCATCGCAGTGTGCAGGGTATGGTCCATCAGGTGAATTGGCCCCGGGGGGCACATCGGTTAAAGGAGGAGAGAAAATAGAAGAGCTGGTAGAGTTCTGTTTTATGTGGAAATGCGTACAGCGTTTTATCGGTAGTGTCTGTACCTACTTCCTGTACTGTGCTGTGTCAATCCTGTATAGTGTCACGGGGCTAATTTGCTACAGAATGTCACAGGCCACTTCACGTTCCATTCATAGCCCTTATTTGGTACCAACATCTTTTCCAAGGAACATAATGTGATTGTCCTGTGACAGGTTTTACATCCAGCTGTGCCCTCCATCTTTGGCAAAATGGATGACTTTATTATCACATTCCCTCTGGAAAGCAGGGATGCCTCCACACTTTCCTCTTGGTCGGAATTTTATCTCACTTCTTCTTGTCCTATCTTATTCTGCAGACTGCAGCTGGCATGCTAAACCTGGCAGTCACAATGGCCTGTTGGATAGCCAGAGATAGCCCGACTAATGGGTCTGGGTTCTGTCTCTGGATGCTTTTGCACTGTGGAGTTTGGGTTGCGTGGTTGCAGCAGAGCCCAGTGGCTTGCAAAGCACCGAATGCTTCAAGGCTTCTTAGGGATCAAATTTGCTTTCACGAATGGTCAGCTGACTCGTAGTAAACTTCGCAGAAGTGAGGGTTATATAATTGAATCTAAAAGCAGCTCTGCTTCGGATTCCCCGCCTGTGTCTTCTCTTTTAAAACATGTTACGGGGAATTTAAAACATATGCAGCGATAACAGTGTACTGAGTCCCCGTGCCTCTGAGCCAGCTACAACACTGCCTTTTGGACCATTCCCCTTTCATCTGTGCCATTTCTGCCCTCTCTGAATGCTCTCGCCACATTCTGAAACAAATCTCAGTTCTCATGTCATTTCGTCGAAATATTTCAGTATGTATCTCTTTAACAGAAAAGGCTTCAAGGAAAAACCATGGCACCACTGTTTCTTCTTAATAAGGCTCTGGTAATGACCTAGTTTTGTTACCAACTCAAATCTTAGGGCTTTGGAGGATTTGACTGAGGAGTGTCATTGACACACTGACCCCAAATTTGTGTGTGCTGTAAGCAGCTGACTCTTAGGACCGGAAAGAAAGCCTGACTCCTGCTGTCAATCCCCCTGCACACAGGAGTAACTATGTGTCTGTGGCTCTTGAATCACACTTCCTCAGGTGAATGCGGGCTGGTAATACTGAATGGTCAGAGTGGATGTTATCTGTTGCAGTAGGCATTCACCTGTCCATGGCTTTACCCATTTCTGATTCTGAGCTTGCAGGCTCGTTACTTGTAAGCATCAGTCGGGAGAGAATGACTTGTCCCAGGCAGGGCGACGCTGGAAAGTCCTAACTCTGGAAACTCTCTTTTCAGATGCTGTCTTTGCATTTCAGTTGCGCAACCCAGTGCACAACGGACATGCTCTGCTAATGCAGGACACCCACAAGCAGCTTCTGGAGAGGGGCTACCGGCGCCCCGTCCTGCTCCTCCATCCTCTTGGTGGCTGGACGAAGGATGATGATGTCCCTTTGATGTGGCGTATGAAGCAGCATGCTGCAGTGCTGGAGGAGGGGATCTTGAACCCGGAAACAACAGTGGTGGCCATCTTTCCTTCTCCTATGATGTATGCTGGGCCAACCGAGGTAGGCCGCTTTTAGGATATCAGGGCAGTGCTAACGTCACCCTTGTGAACACTAGAGCATCACCAACCTACCTGTTGACCCTTCCCTGATGGCTAGGTGTGTTCCAAACATTGAGTACTTCCGAGTACTCTCCTGCTGCTGGGAGTGTCCTCATGTGCTGCACCCCATGGGCATCCAGTTGTTGGGAAGGGTGGGAGAGGTTTCTTTGCCTCTTTTTATGCTTCTTGATCCAATCTGAGGAAGATACAGAAGTGAGAACAGTGCATGGTTGTTTTGTATCCACCAGTCAAGGTCCAGACACAGTTAGAACAACACTGATTTTGTTCCGTCAATGGAGTCCCAGAGCAGAGGACGGATGCAGTGTGACTTTTGGTTTTTCTAAAATTTTCAAAGACTAAAGGGGCTCTTGTGTTCCAGCCAGCTGTTTCCCCATAACAAATACCTAAGGTAATGAATTTATAAAGACATAAGGGTTATTTGGCTCATGATGTGAGTGCTTCAGCACGTTGGTCTTTTGCTTCTGGGCTTGTGGTAAAATGGCCTATCGTGGTGGGATTGAATGGCAGAGCAGAGTGTTTGCATTGTGGTCTGACAGTGAAAGAAGGAGGAAGGGGCCTAGTCCCACTGTTTTTGTCAAGGATGGGAGCCTTGTGACTCCCCTTCAGTCCCGTGTCCTAAAGGCCTCGCCATCGCCAGGAGTTCTAGACTAGCTATGAAACTTCTGATACATGTGCTTTAGGATAACTTGCAGAACCACATGGTTGTTTGTCCCTGGTCCCAAAGGCATTCATGTACAGTGTCCGTCTGAGTGAAATGCATTCAGTATTTTGGGGAAGTATCCAGTAAGACAGTCAGTTTTTAAAAAGATTTATTTTTAACTGTATGTCTACATGAGGTTATGTGCGTGCACATGAGTACAGGTGTCTGTGGAGGTCAGTGGCATTGGATCCCCTGGGACCTGGTGTTAGAGGCTGTCGTCAGCCACCCAGCATGGGCCCGGGAAACCAGACTTATGACTGTGAGTCTTCTGGAAGAGCAGTACTGGATCTTAACTTCTGAACCTTCAACCCCCAGGGGACGATCTTCATGGGTTCTTCTGTGAAGGACTAGAACATGATTGAATCAGGAAGTCAAATTGCTTCCTGATAGGAGGGCAGGGTTTTGGAATTCTGCCTGCGGTCAAAGAGATGTTTGAGATCTTTTTATAGCCATATGTAAAGATGATGAAAATTAGGTTTCAGTTTCAAGGTAGAGTAGGCTTTCAAAATATATTTGCTGAATGAGTTAATAAATCAGTTGAGTGACCTCAGAAGTGGTGAGTGGGAAATTCCCAGCCAGCTTCTTGTGTTTTCAAGATAAAAATGGAATGCACATTATTACTGCACCATTTCATCCCTTCCATAGAGGAAGATGAACGCACTTGGATTTATCTGAGAGTCAGACTCATTTGTAAAAAAAAAAAAAAAGATCTAAGTAATTCAGTGATAGGAACTCCTTCCAAGATTTTAAAAGAGAATCTAAGACATTTGACTGTTTGGGATGGAGCCTATGAATCTTATTGGAGCTTAGCTTACGGGGTTGAATTCTCTGTTTCCTCTTTATGCAAACAAACAAAACAGCAGGCTAAAAGATGAAGATGTGATTGGCTCTTCTTTTGGCCCCCTGTCCACTAATACATTGAAACGTTGCCCATCTTTCTGTTAGAGTAAGGTGTTGCTTAGGATAGGCCAGTGATGGCCCTTGGTGCTCACCGTATGGTTCCAGGACTTCTATCTAGTTTTCTTGCATTTCACATTTGTTTAGTAGTTCCTCTAGCTGGTATTTATCCCTGCTCCAGAGCCGGGGGGACCTGGGAGAATGGAGCCAATAAATGAGGCGGACTAAAGTCTCATGCAATAGCCAACTTTATTCAGAGCCCCAGACAATTTATACTCAGAGGGTTAAGAGAGGTCACCTGAGTAAAGTTCCCATGAGTTCAAGCTGTTCACAATCACAGGACAAGCCACATGTGGCAAAAACATGTTTTTCCATAGAGGCTTATAAAGGATAGTTTAAACATTTAATTGAATAACAACATCAAGCAATAATGAGTACTCTGAAGTAAACTTACTCTTATCCACTACACCTGGAAAGAGCACAGAAACATTCCCAGAACAATTCTGTGTTTTGAAGAAACTGAGGTCACAAAACTGTTGTTTAGTTTTCTTGGAGTTTTCTCATAAGCGCTCAGAATTCTCACATCACTGTTTCTGTACCAGTACTCCTAGCTGGCCTCACATTCAGAGGGCTTGGTTCGGTCCAATGCTGGTTCCCCAGCTTTACGACTAGGGTCTCTGTGCTCTCACTAGGTCAGGTCAGCTGTTTCTGTGTAACCTCATCATTTTAAGGAAGTCATTTGAGCTGAGTTTCTCTAGAATGTCATGTAGTGTGAGAATGACCCAAATGAAGTCAGAGCAGTGTGCTGGTTAGTTTTTTGTCAACTTGACACAAGCTGTAGTCATTTGGGAAGAGGGAAACGTGATTAAGAAATGTCCCTACCAGATTGGCCTGTGGGCAAACGTGTGGGTCATTTTCTTGATTTATGATCGATGTCAGAGGGTCTAGCTCACCATGGGCTGGTGGGCCTGTGTGTTATGAGAAAGCAGGATGTGCAAGCTTCAGTAAGCGGACATCCTCCATGACCTCCGCATCAGCTCCTGTCTCCAGGTTCCTGCCTTGAGTTCTTTCCCTGACATCCCTGGATGATGGACTCTGGGTTACATCAGTTGTAAACTTTTACCTTCCCAAGATGCATGGTGTTTATCACAGCAATAGAAACCATAATTATGGCAGGCAGGGATAGGGTTATGTGCAGCAACCTTATTAAATATTCAGCTTGGAAAATGAACCTCTTTATTTGTGGCCTGTCTTGTTCTCTTTGTGATTCTTATGTGACTCTGTATGAAAGTGGGGTTGATGTGAAATTTTATTCAGTAAGCTAACAAAAAGAATGTTTTAAAAAATGAGAATGGGAGGATGTGTAATGGAATAACCTGTGATAATCAACAAAAGTTCCTTCCTGAGTTAGAAAGGGACTTGGGGGCAGTCTCAAGTGTCCCAGGCTGGCCTTAAGCACTCATATAGGTGAGGCTGGTCTGGAGCTCCTGGTATCCTTGCCATTCCTTCCAGAGTTATGGGGTTGCAAGCCTATTGCACTGTGCCTAGCTTTACATTGGAAGGATTTTTATGTTTTAAGTTTTGTCATTTGTGCTTCTGAAGGAAGGTTCAAAAGTGAAAGCCAGGGCTGAAGAGATGTCTTGAAGATACAAGTTTGGATCCTAGCACCTATCTAAAAAAATGGGTATGGGATGGCTGTACATGTGCTAATAACCTAGGCATGGTGGAGGGTAGAGACAGGAGGATTGCTGTAGCCAGCTAGGTGCCTAGCTCTAGACTCAGTAAGAGACCTGTCACAGAGGAGTAGGGCAGAGAGTGATAGAGCAGATCATTCAACGTGCACATACTACACAGACAGACAGACAGACAGACACGGGAAGAACAGTGAAGATACCTGAGGGTTGGCATCTCACTTTAGCAGTCTTGCGCTTTGCATGGCACAGTTGAGTAGCTGGTGTTTATCCTTCCCTTTACCCACCCTGGGTTCATGGCTGAGACATTACTTGGAAGAGATTAGCATAAGGAGAGCATGCATATTTATTAAAGTCTTCTATGACACAAGAGCCTTTAGAAATGAAGATCCAAGGAAGGCTGTGCATTGTGTGTCCGAATCTGATGAGCAGTGGACAGTCATGCAGGTTAGGTGGGAGAAAGGGTGTGTGATTGGCTAGTGATGAGCCTGGGCTTAGGAAGGCCTGTTGCTCTTGTTCTTCTCTGTCCCCGTCTCTTTAGAGAAAGGACATTCCTTTCCTCCATGTGTAGAGAGCCTCATGGCCTACATCAGGGCAGCTCAGCTGGGCTTAATGGCCGTCTTTGAGGGAGAAGGAAAAGAAGGCAAGCTGGCCTTCCTGCTTCTGGTCCTGCACTGCTCTGGCAGGAGGACCTCCCTGGCCTCTGATTGGCTCTTGTCACTACCCACAGGAGTGCACTGAGGGCTGCAGCATGAGTGTGCACTGTTGGCCACCAGCTCCTGTGTAATCTGTTACACTACCCTGAGCTGCGTTTACCACGTGTACATGAACACTTGTTTGTAGGAGGCATAGTAGGATTCAGTATTCCTACATTCAGTTGTGCATATTTTCTAATTTGTTTTATTTTAACTCCATATTGAACTATACATAGGCAAAAAGACACATCTCATAGATGTTCAGTGAGGCCAAGTTTTCCAGAATAAACAACTCTTCACCCAGAAGCTCTTGTCCTGTTCCTTCTGATCCACACCTGTCCTTACCACAGTAGTCACTGTCCTCATGTCAGGAAGGATCCAGTTCCCTCGTGTGGAAGGTTGTGAGCACTGGGTATCAGACAGAGAGCAAGGCTAAGCTTCGGACATTCATGCGAGCCCTTGCCAGCACACTTGGAGAGAAGAGAAGGGAGGGAGCTGGACAGGGAACAGGGAGAATCTGAGCTGCAGTTCAGTCTCAGATGTTTTATGTATTAAGTAACTCAATCCTTGAGCCACCATTCATTTTTAGGCGAGGCTTACCCACGTTGAAAGGCTACATAGCTTGCTCAGAATCACATAGTAGCAGATAGTGAAGATGGAGTCTGAACCTGCATGCCCTGAAGGGTTCTGGGAGATTTCAGAGATGCCCTCCCTGAGTTGCGGGGAAGCAGGCATCATAGCCTGCTAGGCATTGACTGCCAAGGGAGGTGCCTCCTTTGGACCTGCTGCTCTCTACAACGGGGGCTGTTTCTGAAGAGAGCCGACAGCTGTGTGTGCCTGCTGGCTGCACTCCCAGAAACAAATACTTGTCTTCCTGAAGTAACCTGGGCCACCGCAGCGTTCAGTGTTCAGACCAGCCTGGTGTGACACCTGTCAGCTAGACTCTGACGTTGTGGTCTCTTATGCCTGACTTTACTTACCCTTACTCACTGCAGTGTTATGGAATAGAATATTTGTTTAACTATGTAAACATGTATTGCATTTGTTTAATTATGTGAATTTGCCTGTTGGGTATCGCTGGGTAGATTGGCTGGCTATGGATGTGCATTTATGTGGCATTAGGAGAAGTTTCCAGTCCTTTCTAATGAAGATGTGCATTGTATAGCCTCCAGTTCTGGAATGCCTTGTATGTTAACTGCTTTGGCCTTCTGATCCCGATCTCTAGCCGAATGCTGTATAGTACTTCCATTTCTTAACCAATCTGAAGAATCTATTTGTTGGATCAGATTCACTGAAAAGGGAATAAATACGGATTATAAATTAGTGTAGTTCTAGGTAGTGATTAGGAAATAAATGCCATAATCCACTACATTCTTTTTTTTTTATGTGTATGGGTTTTTTACCTACATCTATGTGTGTTTACATGTATGACTGTTCACAAAGGCCAGAAAAGGGTGTCAGATCCCCTGGAGCTGGAGTTCCCAGTGGTTGTTAGTTACTATGTAGGTGCTGGGAATGGAACCTGGGTTCTGTGGAACAGCAGCCAGTGCTCTTAACCACCAAGCTGTCTCTTTCAGACAGTATTCCAAGTGATTTACGTGTGTTCACTTAGTCCTTGTAACCACACTGAGAGGCAGGGCAGGCACTGTTACTATTCACAGTTTGTGGATGGGGCCTGTGGTAGAGGCTAACTAACAGTTGCTCACGGTCAGGTGGTATGTGGTGGGGATGGAATTGGCATCTAAGCGACCTGGTCTGAAGCACGCCTTGCAGCTCCAGCCTCTGGTATCGGTTAGGGTTGCAGTAGTTGAAAACTGTACACGCGTGTGTGTTTGGAAGGCAGACTTTCAGCACGTCCATCGAAGTCTAAAATAGTGAGCTGGCCCGGCTCTGGCGCTGTTCCGCAGAGATCCAGTCTCCCCTTGAATAGTTTACACACCTGTTCACCATAGTCCAGACTGGAGCTTTGTACTTTCTCTGTATAATCTGCATTTCTATTCTAGGGACAGCGGCCTCATATTATTAGTAATGTCTTCCTGCGGGTTTCCTTTGTTTTGATTTTTAGACAGGGTCTCCCTATGTAGCTTTGACTTAGCTTGGTACTCCCAGTGTTATGTCTTCCAGGCTGGCCTTGAACTCACAGAGTGCTTTTGCTTCCACAGTGCTGGGATTAAAGCTGTGTGCCACCATGCCTAGCCCTGTCTGTGTTTTTGTTACTGGTTTTGTACCTCATTGTCTGGCTGGTACTAATATGTAAAAATATGTATTATTGACTGGATGAAAGTGAGTCATTACTTTGCTTCTAGTTCACACTGTCCCTGTCCTGACTCCACATAAAGGTGCTGTCTGTGTCTCATAAGGGTGCTTTGTAAATTTGTGTAAGAATCCTAGAGCTTGGAACATGGCGGAGAGCCTGGGATGCCTTGCTTTTTGTAGACTTCATGTCACCACACATGCCCTGGGCCTGATTTGGGATGTCGCTGGTGTCTGACTGATAGTAACACAAAGGAGGTGGGAACAACGGTCTTTGTGTGCCTGTGTGTATTCGCACACTTGGACTGATGCTCTTCGAGGATTATGTAACCCACAGTTTCCTGAGGTACGGATTTTATTCCCTTTCTGCCACTGTGACTTCTGAAGCTGAGTCTGCGACTTCACTGCGTGTGTCCAAGAAGCTAGAGTTGAACAGTAGTTTTTAACTTCGTATCCTTTGAGGAGTAAACTAAGTTCTAGCAGTCGTTTTAATGTTTTAAGTAATTAGATGTTTCAGTGTTTATGAACTGGTATGATTTAAGGGGCTTGTGAAAAACTATCCATTCTTCTTGCTGTCTTATGCCCCTTCCCTCTTTCTTTTTTGAGATATAGGGTCCTGCTATGTAGCCCAGGCTACTCTGTAACTCACTGGGTAGCCCAGGTTGAACAGTCCTCCTTCCTCTGTCTCCCAAGGGCTGGGATTATAAGAGTGTGCCACCGTGCCTGGCTCTTGTCTCTGTAGTGCCTCACTTATGTGTTTGACTTTTTTTTTAAACAGTTTTTAAGTGAAGACTATACTAATAATAAAATAATAATGATAAATAATGGCGAACCCACCTCATTGTTTTTTCCGGTGACATCAGGAACAAGCCTGCCAATACATATTTGCCAAGTTGTCATAATAAAGTACGAACGTGCTTCTTCGGTAGTTGTCCTCCGGGTTATTGAAAAGGCACTGGTACCAGATTTGTTTCCTTAGCACAAATGCATTTCAGAACAATGAGCAGCTGTTAAGGCTGTGTGGTTATCAACAGGATGTTCCTCATTTTCCAGTCTGTAAGATTTAATGGCTCGATTCCGAAATTCCATCCTAGGAACAGAGTGGGAGCTGTGCAGGGAATAATTTACTTTCTAATGCTGAAACTGGCGTTGTGAACATACAGTTTTATTATTTATATGAATAATTAGTTGGCAAATTGAAAATGTTTGTCTCTTGTCATTAAACACTAAATCTATTTCCTAAAGAACAATTAATGCTTCCTAAAATCTGTTATGTGAAAGTATAAAAAATGAGATGGGTTTGAGAATGTACAGCTAACAGCCATATCCTGAGCTTAGGAAGTTATAATGAGGATCATCTTTTAGGGTTTTTTTTTTCTTGGAGAGGGGAGGAGTTATTCTCCAGTTGTTAAATGACTCCATGTTAGAAACAGATTCATGTAAGTGAGCAGAGGCGCATAAACAGGAGCATTTGAAACACTGCTCTGTGGATTCCTGAGTATTTCCTTAATTAGGTCATGTTTTACACTAGTCTCTGGAGCAGTCAATACAGTATCTGGATGTGAACCTGCCCTATTGATCCTTCTGGAAGGCCCCTGTAGCCTTACATGTGTTCATGGGTCAACCCCATCCAACTTCCAGCCTTGGAGACTGGAGCTTGAGCTCTGTGAGTGACTTCTTATGTGTATGTAAAATCTTACACATGGATATATGTATATCCATATATCTCATAAGCAAATAATACGCAAATGTATGCACCTTAATATTCATGCCCATCTGTGATCCTGCTTTGGGGGCCTGGTTTTAATTCTAGCTTCATTAAATGTGTTAGAATTTCCTACTGTTTGGTGGCGATGAAGTGAGACATAAACAGAGGTGCAGCTCAGTGGGAAAGAGTTAAACACAAACGCATATACATTTATTATCTGCTTGCTGTTTCTCACCACTCAGCCATCAAAGTGTAGTTAGCTAATATGCGGACATCTTTTCTAGGTCCAGTGGCATTGCAGAGCGCGGATGGTGGCAGGAGCCAATTTTTATATTGTTGGCCGAGACCCTGCTGGCATGCCTCATCCAGAGACAGGGAAGGACCTCTATGAGCCAACACACGGTGCCAAAGTGCTGACGATGGCCCCTGGCCTGATCACCCTGGAAATAGTTCCCTTCCGAGTTGCAGCTTACAACAAGAAAAAGAAGCGGATGGACTACTATGACTCTGAGCAGTAAGTTTCACACTGCCCCAACTGATGGCAGCAGTTGTCTGACTGTTTCCAGGGTTCAGCATATCATCTGGTCTTTCTAAGTTCTGATGGGAGGCTTTGTTGGATCCATCTCAGGAAAAGTCAAGAAAACTAGCTCAGTATTCTAGGCTAGAAGTGAAAGTAAAGAGTGGATCTAAGCTGGATGTGGTAGGGTACTCTTTAATCTAAGCACTTGGGAGGCAGATCTTTGTGATTTGAGGCCAGTCTGGTCTACATAGCTAGTTCCAGGCCAAGCAAACAAACAAGTAGAAACTCCCCCGCCCCACCAGCACACACTGGATCTACAGTTGGTGGCTTGGGAGATTTTGTTATGTGGTCTTTATGGGCAGCGTTAATATTTAATGTCTGTATGACGACTGTCAACTTTTAGAATAAATGATTGGAGTGCCAGGTCTGGTTGCAGAGGCTGGTAATCCTAGCTTACTAGAAAGCTGAGGCAGGAGGATTACAAGTTCAAGAATAGGGCAAGGTAGGGAGACTCTGTCTCAGAATAAAAATTAGAGTGAGCTGGGGGTGTAGTTGAGTGATAGTTTCTCAGCACACACAAGGCTTTGGTTCAGTTTCTGGCATTGCCAATACGTACAGACATATGCATGTGCATACATATGTACATAGTAATATTAAGTATGTGTCTATTTCTTTTGGACTGATAGATTGTAAATTGTAGTCATTTTTGTCTGTGGATGATGTCTGTATAAGGTTACAGTGGCAGTGTGCAGCTGAGTTTCAGGGTCTAGTCCTGTCTTTGCTATATGATCTGAATTCTAAGCCTTTCTGCCCTATTTCCTCGTCTCTGGGATGAAGACAGGGGATGATGAACTGCCCTCCTAGGTCTTTCTGTGGTTCTTCCCATGACCTGCAACACCAAGCTATTTTCTTAAGATAGGGTCTCCCTATGCAGCCCCAGCTGGCCTGGTACTCACTTTATAGATCAGGCTGGCCTTGAACCTCCTGAGTGCTGGGATAAAAGACATGTGCCATTGGCTGATTTTTGTCACAGAGGGGACAGGACGGGAGAAAGAAATCTTGTGAGAAATGAAAACCTCTCTCTTGTTTCTAAAAGGCATATTAGCACACACTTCCGGTCGCAGCACTTGGAAGGTGGAGACAGTGGGACCAGTGGTTCAGGGTCGTTCCTGCTGCACAGAGAACAGGAGACTACCCTGGACTGCATGAAATCCCGTCTCAAAAATTAAAAGCAAATTATAAGCAAATAAAGTAAATAAGTAGAAAGGCCGTGAAATGGCTCAGCAGGTAAAGTTGCTCGCTGTCAAATCTGCAGATTGGAGTTCAATCCCTGGGATCCACATAGTGGGAAAAGAGATTTTCTCAAGTTGTCTTCTGATCTCCCCATGCGTGCCATGGCATGAGTGCACGCACACAGACACGCAAAGAAATACACGTAATTAAAGAATAAGTTAAAGGGATACAAAGCTTTGAATTTCTTTGAGTAAATCATCTGGATTAAAGGCTGTCATTGCCACTGGAGATTGGAAGATGTCTTGGTTTCGCACATGCTGATATAGCAGTTTTAGAGACAGTGCGCCTTCAGTGTGTGATGCACTGTATCTGAAATTCAAGAAATCCTAAATGCCTGTGGCAAAAAGGATTTTGCTCTAGGCACAAGGAAGAATAGAAGGACTCCTTCTTAATGACAGCAGTGGCTGTGTGTGGAAGACAGGATGGGGGCTGCTGATGGCCTCTGTGGTGATGCAGATCCAGGATACTCTGAGCCCCTCAGAAGAATTTGCAGTCAACAGCATGTTTTTACCCTGTGACAAAATCATATTCCTAACCACATGGGCTTGTTCTTTAACCTTGAAGATGTGTGAGTGCCTGTGTATGCACATTTGTACATGTACATGAGTGTACGTAGTAATTGCCCCATCCCAAAGTACAGTACCAAGGAGATGGCTTAGAGTCCTTTAAAAGAAGAATATTAAGGAGAATGTTATCAATTATGATAAGCTGTATCACCTCAAAAGGTGACTGAAATCTATGTAGAAATGACAAAGAAAAGTGAAAGCAGTTTGGGCACACTCCTGCTCTTTTGTAGTTAAGTTATGTAAAGAGCCCGACTCAGTCTGTGGCTAGACCTGCCTGTTGGCAGTCTGCAGAAGTAAGCCACATGGCGTCAGAGGCAGTTGCTGCAGTGTAGTACTTGTCTTCTTATCCCAAGTGCAGTTTGTCTAGTTGGTGTACAGCATTCTTGACTTCCATTTTTCTGAGAACTGTGGTGGAAGCAGAGCCGCTCGGCCAGTCTGCATGCTTTTACTTTAGAAGAGTTTCCATTTGTGACATTAAGAAAACTGAGCAGGGGTCTGCAGAGATAGTTCCATGGGTGAAGCAATTGCTGTGCAAACACGAGGACTGAGCTTTTATCCCTAACACCTGTGGGGAAAGTCTGGCGTAGGGCTGCATGAATGGCTCAGCATTTAAGGACAGGCACTGCTCTTGCAGAGGACTGTGGTTCTCAGTGCCTATGGCAGGCGGTTCATAACCATCTGTAGGCACCTGCATTCCAAGCGCATACCCACATCCAGACACACCCATACAGAATAAAAAATCAATCATAAAAAAGGCCTGGAATGGTGGCATGTCCTTGTAATCTCACTCTCAATGAGACAGATGCAGCCAGATCCCTTGTGTTCCCTGACCAGCTCAGCTCTTTCTTCCGTCAGTCCCAAGCCAGCAAGAGGCCTCATCTCGGTAAGCAAGGTGGTTGGATCCTGAGTTCGGTCTCTGGCCTTTGCAGCCACGTGCACATCCGACTGTATCTGCATCTGCAACTCTGTACACACAAGTGCAAACACACACACACACACACACACACACACACAGAAAACAAAGTAAAAAAGCGCAGATTTCCTTTCCAGCTCCTGGGCTGATGTGTGTACTCTGTCCCTGTGGTCCCTCTGCGAGGCCAGCTGCTTTCATCACACACAGGATCCTAGCTCCATCTGTGTGCAGTTGATTAATGTGCTTCTAAGACCCTTGATAACTTTGATGTTTGGCTAAATCTGGGTAGTGCTGCTTTAAGTCTCTCTTTTAATCATTTAAAAGCTAAATAATTACATCATTCCTCATAAGATTTTCCAGAGATGAATTCTATGTTAGTCACATGAGTGGCTCATTTCCTTGGAATTTTTTTTTGAGTTACCAAATCTTAATAAGTTGTAACTTGGGAAGTTTTAAAAATGCTTTAGATTTTAAATTTTCTGTACTTGTGTTCAAATATAATTAAGTTGATGGGAATATGTTGGAGAGTGATTAAAATTTTGTGGAAAGGCGATTGTCTTTGATGTAGCGAGAAAACAGTTATTAATTATGCACATATGAGCTTGTCCATGTTTGATTAATGGACATTACTCAATGCCAGCTTTTATTTAATTAATGATTTTGTAGCTTTTGGTTTGACTGAATACTAGTGTAAGACATGGCTTAGGGAGGAAAATTCCCTGAAGATTTCAGACAAGATAATTATTGATAGGAATTATGATAGAGTCATCTGTTTACATTTAGGAAGTCAAGGAAGCTGTGTTAGCTTTAGAAGTGACTCAGCATGACTGAGCTGCAGGATTTCAATCCCATTACAGATATTAACAGCTATTAGGGTATCTTTTTTCCCGTTTTTTCCTTTTTACTCTTTTAAAGTGTTACTATTTGTATTCTGGGTAGACAAATGCAGAATTACTTGCATTATAGAAACAGCATGCTCAGCAAAAGGAGAGTCCACGAGTGGAAAGTACCCATGGGGCTGAGTAAATGAAGGATGGAAGGGTGAGTGTGCCTGCTCTGCCATCGTCACCTTCTAACAGATGTCTTCCTGCTTGTGATGGGAGAGTGTACTTAACCTGTGTAATGCTAGAGAGAGCATTGGCCACTAAAGGTGCACCTCTCACCATAAGGGACACCACTTACCATCTAGAAGATGTTCCTTTACCATCTAGAAGATGGCCCCTCACCATCTAGAAGATCCCATGTTCCTTTACCATCTAGACGCCCCCTTACCATTCTAGAAGATACAGTTTGGTTGATGGTGTTAGAAACAATGACTGTATACCTCTTTCAAGGTGTTTTTGGATTTCTTTTTTTTTGTGTACGTTCACTGGTGAGCCTACCTAGTATATTAGTTTTTGAGCTGTGACTATTAAATCTGTATATCAGTGTTCCTCTGTTACTGTCAGTTTTCTATTATTAAAATAACAAATCTTTGAAAAAAACAACACATGAGCTGGTTAGGTCAGAAAACCCAGTTGCTTGTCCTCCTGCCAGGCCGGGCTCTTCTGTGACATCTCTGGAGTCTCCTCCCATGGTGCTCCTTGGCAGCAGAATTCCTTTCCTTGCAGATGTAGGACTGGGTTCCCCAGTTTCTAGCTGTTGGCTGATGATTGCACCCTGTTCCCAGAGGCCTCCCTAAGCCTTCCCTGCAGCTTCTCCATCTCAGCATGCACCCTTCCTTTATTTCACACAATCTCTAAAGCCTTGGATCCCTCTCATGCCCCTTGTTGTTTAGCTGGGAAAACTCTTACATGATTAAGTTTACCTAGGTAATTTCATGGCCAATTGATTAGCAATTTGAATCACATCTCCGAAATTCCCTTTGTGGTATTCCTACAGTATGCTGAAGCAAACTCTGGAGGTGACATGGGACAGAGGTCATCAGGACCATCTTTAAATTCTGCCTATGACAAATGCGAAGTTCTGCATTAATATAAATTGCAGTGACCAGGATCAATATTACTCTAATAATATATCCAGATCCTCAATTTTGTTATTACTCTTTTTCCCCACTTGTGCTGCCTAGTGTCACTTGACAGGGTCACCTGGGAGCATGCCCATGGGAAATGTCTGGTTTGCATTATCTGGGGTGGAGACCTGTGCACTGTGGGTGTCACTCTTCCCTGGGTGGGATCCTATACTGTGTAAGTAAAGTGAGCTGGGAAGCAGCAAACATTTAT